CAAACGGTGGAGTTCCAAGTGAATCGTTGTTGCCAGGGTGAAGCCAAAGAGATGACATAAAACCCGAAGATGAGGACTGCTTGGGGACACGGATTTCTTCCAGGCACCATCCTGAGACTTTCTGGGAAGGGGAAGACAGGCTGGATGGAGAAGGATGTGTCTTTTATGCATTTAAGACACTTGGGCAACTAGAGCCCCACCTTGGTGGGTTCCTACCCCCACAGCTCTGTCGGCCAGAGTGGGGTGGCCCCAGAAGGCTCCTTGGCTGTACCTCCCCTGCTAGCAGATTCCGGCTGCAGTCATTTCACACTGGAGTATGGAAGGAAGCAGCTCGAAGGTCTTTCTGGAGCCAGAACGTTAGCCAGGTGAATTGGAGTGGCCTGGGTAAAGTCAGCGTGGATCTTCAGAGGGCCGTTCTGGCCTGCCAGCTGGTGTCTCCATGCCCACCTGAGGGCCCACCTCTCCCATGCTTCCTGAGGGAAGCTGGAAATTGGGATTGTGCTGTGAACTCATTAAACTTATAGAAAGTTGGCACAAGTTAAAAATTGCTGCAGCCATGGTGTCAGTCTGTCTAGTTGAGGGTCTGCCTCTTTGTCACTGCCCCTCCACGTTACCAAGCTTGCTGTCCTCCGGGAACTGATGATCCCTGACAACGTGAGACAGAGTCTGCTGAAGTGGTCCTAGTAAAAAATAGAGTGTTAGTCAGGGGTGCTCAATATGTCAATCACGATCTAGTCGATCTCAAATGTAGTGTGAGAAGATCACGTGGCATTAAAAAAGTAGACATCAGTGCCATCATTTAATTGATTACAGCGCAGCCAATCAGATGCAATCTTAGGTGTCAAATGCATGTGCAAGCAACTGCTCCAAGTGCAGCAAAATTGACAGACTAAGTTATCACCAACTTTTAGACCTTGTTTCTTTTTTTCTCTTAAATGTAAGCAAGAGTATTGAAATGAGTAGGGGAACTGGACCAAGTGAGAAGACAAAAACGCATCACTTTCATACGGAAAGGGAGATTTTGACACTACAAGCCGACATTCAGCTGAAGTCCACAGCCCATGAACAGTTCTGGAACTTACTTGCAGAGAGAAAGTACCCAAACATGAGAACATGTGCTACCTCCTTGACTGCATTATCTGGCTGTACTTATTTCTGTGAGTCAGCCTTTTCCCACATAAAGATCGTTAAGTCCAAGTACCGTTCCACATGACTGATGATCATTTGGAAGCGTGCTTGAGGCTGGCTGTCAGCAGCTACTGTCCGGACTGTGCTTCCTTGGCTCATTCCATTCAGTGCAAGTCATCAGAGTAAACTCAGTCATGACAAACAATGTACATAGTTAATTGTGTTGTGCAATATGGACTCATGTGGCTATGCAAGGTACATAAACATACATTGTACATAGAAAGAATTCTCAATGCATTCATGAATAAATGTAATACATTAAAAATAAATATATGTTTTGCATTTTTGTAGTTGGTAGATCATTTTGACCCGATCAGTTTGTAAGTCGCTCGCATGCTGAGCACCCTGGTGGTAGTGGCAGTAATCACACACTAGGAGCGCTGTGGCCTAGTGGGTTACGTAGTGGGCTGCTCTGCAAGGTCAGCAGCTGGAGACCACCAGCCCGAGGCTCTGCAGGATGAAGATGAGCTTTTGACTCCCATAGAGTATTGCAGTCTTAGAAACCCACAGAGGCAGCTCTACCCTGTCCTGTGGGGCGTGCCGAGTCAGCATGGGCTCAGTGGCGGCAGTGACTTTGGAGTTTGATGATTGCGTACAGCGTCATGAATGTACTTAACGCCACTGTATTCTATAAGAGTAGTTAAGTGTCAATTTTACGTTGTACAGGCGTATCTTGGAGCTCTTGCGGGTTGGTTTCAGCCCACTGTGGGAAAGCGAGTCAGTGGGTTTTCTGATTTTCGGTGCATTTAAAAATTACACTCACCTTAATTAAGTGTGCAGTGGTGTGGAGAAGGGTTTAGAGATTGTGAGGAAGGATTACACAAAGGTGGCATGAGCAGTAGTGTTGCACCAATGGTGTGATCAGCACACTTGTTTGATGCAGCTTTGCAACAAACTCTCAGTTTACAAGAAATGCAGAGCCTCGGCAGTCTGCCTACAGACTGGCCCCCCAAAGTGTTCCCCGTCTCTCCCCTGTCCATCACCAATGAGAGCATTTGTTCTATCTTTAGCAACTTCCCATCTGTACCCTTCCTACTGTATGTTTGTCTAAGCTGTGTACTCTGTGAGTTGGAACAGGCTGGCTGTATCCAGTCTTGAGTGGTTCTGTTGTCATAGCTTTGTTGTTGCTAATTTAATTTTTAAAACCCCCCAAAAAACAAAACATACAGTTAGAGCTTATGGTTTTAGGTGCATGATTCTTTAAGTTTTAGATTAGCACATGTGTAGATTTGTATAACCCCACTATACTCAGAATGCAGAGCAGGGCTGCCACCCCAAAAACTCAGTTGTGGGATCCTGGTATAGCCCAACTCCCCCCCTCCCCAGGCCCTGGCTTCAATGGTCCCTTCCTGTCACTGCAGTCATGTGGTGGGAATGTCCCCAAGTGGAGTCAAAGTATGTGACCTCGGGGTCATGGGGCTTGGCAGTCTTCCGATTGTGCATGCTCCGGTGCCCCTCTGACCCAGCCAGTGTAGTTGTCTGAAGGCATTTGAGCTCTTTCCAGTTTTCCCATTTAGGAGTCAGGCTGCCATCTACGTTTGCCTCTAGGTCTTCAAGTAACCCTTACAGGGTAAACATTTAGGAGTAGACCTGGTAGGTCACATGGTAAGGGCACACATACCTTTCTAAGCATCTCCCTACCAAGCTGATGTCCACAGTGAGCCCAGGGCTGCCTGGGTGTCGGGTGCCCCTCACCATACCACACTTGGTGCTCTGCATGGGCAGCAGGCCTGGGGTGGGTGGTGGGATGCCTTCCCCTGTTGCTGTGGCGGGGAGCGTTGTCTCTTCCCGCCATGCTAGGCTTTCCCTGTGCTTACTTGCTGTCCGCGTGTCCCCGGAGAAGAATCTGTTCAGGTTCAGTTTGTGTTTGCGTTTTAACTACCGGGTGTGGGTTTCTTCTTGCCTCGTTTTGAGAGTTCTTTATAAGTTCTCAGGACACGTTCTCTCATGGCTGTGTGGTTTGCCAGTGCTGTCTTCTGATGTGTAGCTTGTGTTTGTGTTGCCTGTGTAGTCGGTTACAGTGTACACCCTTAGTGTCTCAGTCTGCTCGGAGTCTGCGTTTTGTGCCTTCCAAGCAGAATGTAGAAACTACTACCATGCAGACCTTTACTCTTAGATGGCAGTTGTCACCTACCTGCATTCCACTGACTGTCATTTTGCTCTCAGCTTGTCAGAGGCCTTTTAAAGAACTGCAGAGGAACATCCCCTATTGTATTTACTCAGATGGCGAATGGGACTAAAAGTTCTGGAGTTTTCCACCAACCTTTGGTGATGCCTTGCCCTGTGTGTCCCTCTCCCCTGTCTGCGCTTCCCCAGGGACTCACGCCTGCCTTTCTTGTAGAGCAGGCTGCCTGCACCCCTTCTCTGAATTTCCCTTCACCTGAAAATGCCCCTTCTATTAGGAATTGGGAAATGCCTTGATTTTCCACTTGTTTCTCGGAAGCTGGCCAGCAACATGCGGCACGCTGGCTTTCTCCTCTGTCTGCTTTGTGGCTGTGTTTCTCTGCCCCTGTTGGGTTGGCCTCTTCTTAGATGTGAGTTTGCCTCTCCCCGAGTTTGAGCAGTGTTCAGCCATCCAGTGAACGTGTTTGCAGCTCCTCTTGTGTCATGTCCTTCCTCCTGGCCTCGGAGCCGGGGTGCTCACCCTCCAGCTCGCCTCCCCTTTAAACTGGATGTCACTGACTTCCTCTTGGGTCGCTTGGGGAAGCTTGTGGCTGCTGACTCAGTGCTGTGTTCGTGCTCCTTCCCGCCCTCCCCACCTCCATGCAGCCCGTGCCCAGAGAGCTGTTTCTTTTTTTATTGTAGTTTTTGATTCTGAAATTCCCATTGGTCGTGACTTCTTTTCCTCCCATTTGTCTCAGGGTGTCTGGCTTGACTCTCAGAGGGAGGCACAGTAGTTACATTAACATCTTGATTCATGTCAGTGGTCTTCTCAGCGCAGGCTTTGTCTTTGAATCCGTCGGCCTTCCCTGGTCTTTGTATGTCGTGCTATCTTGGATGGTGTTCTGCATGCTCTGAACATCGGGCTCAGAGACTGGGGGTTTTGTCTTGATCTCACGTAGAGCGCAGGTGTTCTGTTGTAGCAGGAGACGGACCTGGCTAGAGTCAGGTTGCAGGCCAAGGCCTGGCCTCCCGGTCGGGGCTGTCTTCTAGCTTGGGGAACAGTTGATCTGTGTTGTGTGCGCTGCACCTTGAGCCCCCCAGAGACTCGGCTGGGCCCTTGCCTGTGTCCCATCTGAGTGGAGCCTTGGTTTACACCTTGGGCACAGGCCCACCGGAACACAGATTGTGGGGACACTCAGGGACCCATGCACAGACCTCTTCTCTCCTCCCACATCTCCGAGTGAGGTCATGCTCCGTGGCCCCTGCTCTGACCTCTGGCTGAGCATCTGGGGCCTCCATTTCATCCGTGCTGGGGTCTGGCCCTGCTGCTGGGCCCCTGGGGGCGGGGAAGCAACAGGTGCCCAGCCCAGTCTGTCCTCTGGACCATGTCTCCTTTGGTTAAGAGACCAGGGTTCACATTTTGAATAATTTTAGATGGCCGCCAGCCACTGCCACCACTCTGCCACTCCAGAACCTTTGGGGGACAGAAAATCTCAGAGTGCAGGATGATGCCTGCTATTCTGTCCCATGGGGCCCCCTCTGATTGCACCTGCTGAGCAGTCTGGGAGACAGGGGCGGGGAGAATGGGAGCCTCCCTTGGGCCCCTCCTGCAGTCCTGCTGCTCCTGCCCAGACTCAGGCCCCTGGGGCTGTGGGAAACGGGGCTGGAGGGGTGTGCATGTGCCCACTGGCACGGTGCTTGCTCCACTTGAGCCAGAAGCAGAAGCTCTGGGACAGTCCTCTTCCCTGGTGAGTGTCAGACGCCTTGGGCTGGGACTGAGGTGGTTCCTAGAGGGGCTTGAGGTGACACTCGCCTGTGTTTCATGTACAGGCACGGAGGCCACTCTTAACAGTCTGGAGGAGGGGCGCTGAGCCATGGCTGCCCCGGATGTGAGTGTGCACATGGAGGAGGTGGTGGTGGTCACGACGCCCGACACCGCCGTCGATGGCAGTGGTGTGGAGGAGGTGAAGACCGTGCTCGTCACGACCAACCTGGCCCCCCACGGGTACGTGCTTCGCATGCGTGGCATGGCGGGCCGGGCGAGTGTAGGGGAAGTCTCGGAAGTAGCTCCCAGCCAGCCACATCTGCTGTGACCCTGTTGTTGCCGCAGCTGCCTGCACCCTCTGTGCTGCGCCTGCCCTGTGAGTGCTCTGAGGAGGCGGGCAGGAGGGTGGCATTTGGGAGGTGCTGGCCAGCAGGGGCCTGGATGGCCAAGTCTCATTCTAGCTGGTGCAGTGCTTCTTTAGTGTTTGCTCTCTGACTGTCCCCTCCTTGGGACCTGGCTCTCCCTGTGGGACCTGTTTTCTGACGGATGGAGTCCCCGGGGCACCCTTGAGCAGGGCGCCTACGCAACCACACACTAGGACCTGCCCCCATGCCTCTCCCCTGGCACATCACTTCCCAAGAAACCAACTTCTCTGTTTAAAGAAATGGTCCCTGGGAGTTTTTACCACAGAGAGGTGTTTATTTTATTAAATCATTATAAATTGGGGGCTCGTACAACTCTTATCACCATCCATCCATCGTGTCAAGCACATTTGTATATTTATTGCCATCATTATTCTCAGAACATTTGCTTTCTACTTGAGCCCTTGGTATTAGCTCCTCATTTTCCCCCTCCCTCCCCCCCAATGAACCCTTGATAATTTATACATCATTATTATTTTGTCATGTCTTATGTACACTGTCTGATGTCTCCCTCCCTTCACCCACTTCTCTGTTGTCCGTCCCCCCATATAAGGTTTTTAAGGTACCCGTATCTACATTTCTGGTTCTGGGTCACGGACAGAGCTTGGAAGTGAACGTGGGGCACGATTCGCCTTTACTTCTCGGACTGGCTGGCTTCCCTGGCTGTTGCGGGCGTTGGCTTAGTGGACTGCTCTTGTCCTCCTTTTGGAGACAAGGGTTTGCTCATAGTTTCTGGAACAAGCCTCACTGAGGGGCGACTTGGGCTGACGTGGCTGCAGAGCCCCCTTGCCCCCACGCCAGGTGCTCGGGGCCAGGGGCCAGTGTGCGGATGGACGCAGGCTCGTGTCGGTGTTGGGCTGACTCGCGTCTCTCCTCGGTGTTTCAGGGCCGACCTGACGGAGGACAGCATGGAGACGGAGAACGCGGCAGCCGCTGCGGCCGCAGCCTTCACTGCCTCGTCCCAGCTCAAGGAGGCCGTTTTGGGTAGGAGGCCGGGCTCCCCACAGGGCGGGGATCTCCACAGAGCGGCCCAGAGCTGATGCAGCCCGAGCAGGAGACCAGGGGCCTCCCGCCCTCACTGCTGAGGCAGTATCCACTCTTGGGGGAGACCCAGCATACAAGGCTCCCAAGTGTGAGCCCAAGTTCCTGCCCCTGTACTCTGTCCGTGGAAGGCCAGCTCCAGTGGTGACAGGTGGGCTCCACCCACAGCAGCCCAAGGGCCCGGCCGAGGCTGCCCTCCCGACAGCCTCCGGGTGCTCTCACTGAGCTCAGGTCCAGTCTAGGCTCACAGCCCTCACTGTGGGGCACTGGGCCCCCTCCCTCAGAGCTCCCGTGATGTTGAACTGCCCACCTTTCTGTTAGCAGCCGAGTGCTTAACCCTGTGCCACCAGGGCTCCTCTGAGGAGCTTTGATGTCCTTGTTAGATGCTGTCGCGCCAGTCGTGACTCGTAGCGACCACGCAGCGCCGCGGTCCTGCCCATCCTCACAGCTGCGCTCACAGCTGAACCTGTGGTTGGAGCCACTGTGCCATTTCTGTCTGGTTGAGGGTCTTCATCATGTTTGCTGCCCCTCTACTCAGCATGATGCTTTTCTCTGGGACTGTCTTCCCGTGAGACAAGGCTCACCAGCCTTCCTTCCAAGGGCAGCCCAGCTCTCCATCCTCCAGTGCAGAGCTGTGTGCTCCTGGCCGCCTCTGTTTAGTCAGTGCTCCTCCCAACACCGCAGTCACGACATCACTGCACTCACGGTCCAGCCTCACGTGCGTGTGAGGCATTGGAAACGCCGTGGGCACCTGGGGCCCACCGGACTCCAGATGCTGTGAAACCTTCATCTCCAGTTTTACTCTCGTTGTTTCAAGTAAACAGCAGGTTTTCTCTCCGCTGCTGTTTCTGCAGCGGGACCACACTGCAGTGGGTCAACAGTCGTAGGGTCTGTGTCTGTTGGGTGAGGCTTATACATATATCTAAGGTGTTTTCAGGACTAGAGTCTGCCCAGCGAGGGGGCAGGTGCGGGAACAGCAAGACTGTCCCCCCTGGGCTCGTCCCTCTCTGGCTGCCTGTGCTGCAGTTTCAGTCGCTGTTTCTCTGCCTCTGCAGGAAGGGTTGGCAGGTGCTAACTGCTTGTCCTTGTCCCCTCCCTGTGAGCAGTGAAGGTTGCTGAAGAGGAGGGGAGCCTGGAGGCTGAGGTGGTGTACCCTATCACCTGTGGGGACAGCAGAGCCAACCTGATCTGGAGGAAGTTTGTGTGCCCGGGCATCAATGTCAAGTGCGTCCAGGTGAGGTGGTGGGGCAGGGCCGGCCTGCACACAGGCAGCAACCACACAGGCCAGGAGCCCTCGGGACAGCAGGCTGGGCTGTGTTCACAGCTCTGGACCCCGCCCTCTGGGACGCAGCCTTGCTCCTTGGGAGGGCCATGGAGAAGATATGGGCAGAGCAATGCGGGCAGTGATGGGGGTGGTCTCCTTCTGGCTCACTTTGTGCTGAAAATGAGTTACGGTTTGTGGTGCATCCCGTCACCTGGCCCAGCGGTAGCGTGCAGGCAGGCACCCTGCAAGGTAACCTGTGTCCTGAGGGCCTTTGCCTGTTTCCTCAGTCGCACAAGCTCAGCAGACCAGCCTGGGGTTTCCCAAAGGGCTGTGGGCTTGGGGACGGGACGGTCATCCTCCATAAAGCTGAAGGACTAACCCTCAGTGTAAGGGTGGGCTACCCACCCTGGCCCTGGGGCCACCAGGAAAATTCCTCCTTTATTCCTAGTACTGCCTTATTGGGAATTCACACATGGCCTGTGGGCCTGCGGAGCTCTCCTCTAGGAAGGAGCTCATTGATCACCCAGGCCACAGAGGTTTCCACGCGCGCTCTTGAGAGTGGTGCAGCCTCCATGCAGACGGCATCCCAGGCACAAAACAGGCCACCCAGCTGAGCGGAATCAACCCCGCAGACACCTGTGTGTGGGATTCTAAGACAGACCATACGATAATTTTGTATAGTTTATTTCAAGAAATACAAAAGGCTTGGATGTGAGTGGAACATAGGGGGATTGGAAAAAACAGCTCCTACAAGAGAGGGTGGAGTTGAAGCCCATCTCCTGGAAGTGAGGCTAGTAGGACACTTGCAGTAGATGAGGCACAGCTGAAGAGACTGCTTGTGACCTGGAAGGTAGAATGGAAGGACTTCTCCAGACCCCACGGAAAGGAAAAGGTGAACCACAGAAGATAAGGTCACCCAGGGAAGCATGAGTGGTTTGCTGCCATCCAAGGGAGAGTAGTACCAGTGCACAGACTCAAGAGAGCTGACAAACCCCACGCTGGGTTGATAAAAAGGAATCTACCCATGTCCCTCTCCAGGTGACATCTGGGGCAGTGGAGGGCCTGTGCACAGCTCCAGCGAGCATCTCCGTGTATGTGTTGCCCCTGGCACCTATCACGTCGCATGTGCACCTGTGCATGTGCATAGGGCGTGGGAGGACTGCCTTATACAGAGTGCCACTATTGTGCAGTTGGCACCAGCCCATGGGACGCATGCTTCTGACTGGCAGCCAGCTTCCTCCAGCAGGGAAGCCTGGTAGGTCCCCTTGCCAAGTGGCCAGCGGCACTGGACCAAGCTACCAGCAGTACCTCCCTCTGTGACCACCTGCATCCTGGCCAGAGAAGAACCTGCAGACACAGAGGAGGCCATTGTCCATGCGGCTGGCCTGTTGCGGGAGAAAGGGACCGGAGCGCTCCCCCTGCTATCAGCAGGTCAGAAAGAGCAGGGCGTGTTACACACACACTCACAGCATGGCCCTGTGGGAAGCAAAGAGGGGGATCAGTTAGCCAGCCAGCTCCTTCCTGCTGTTGTAGCATTGGTCTGTATGGCTTCAAACAGATGCTGCACATGCTGGGGCGGGACCATACTGCCCCTGGGCAGAGATGTCCTGTGGCAGCCACCAGCAGCCACCCTCACTCGGGTGCCTCGAGGTATGTTTGTGCTGCAGGAGGCTGAGGGAGAACAGGGACCCAGGTGTCTGAAGCATTAGCAGAGGCTGTGTGAGATGTGACCAGGGTGTGTGACCCCACAGTGAGCTGAGAGCTGTGTAGATTTGGTTGACTGCCCTCGGCACGGCACAGGGCAGTCCCTGCAGGGCCCACGACTGGTCTATCAAAGACCAGGAGAAGGGCGTGCCAGGCCCTGAGGAGCAGAGAGCTCGTGGTTCGGGGTGGAGGCGGCTCTCAGGCTTGTTTGGGACGTGGCAGGGCAGGGCATGCAGACGCCAAGAGGTAGGTCCTAACTATCAGGGGAAGCACGTTGGCCTGAGGTACCCGATTACTGGGGTGAGATTTGATAGCTGGGATTCTGTCCTGCAGCTGGCAGGTGATCTGAGGTCAGACCTAGCTACAGTGGGAGGGTGCCTCAGGAGGGAGCTAAAGCAGAAAGCAGGAGCCCCAAGAGCAGCCCCCTCCAGGCCGAGGGAGCTCTGCCTCCTGCCCACCCCAGTGACTCACGTTCCAGTCAGGTCAGTGCAGTCTTCTTTCTGCCCCTGGTTGATCTGAGGCTGTGTGTGCTCCGAGTGGAGGGCAGCCTGCAGCCCCACACCAGCCAGCCAGCCAGGCCAGGCTGGACAGGCCGGGACCAGGAATTGCAGAGAGGAGATGCCCCGATCTGTCCCATCTGCCCCCTACCCCAGCACTGTGCTGCTTCCCCTGCAGTATGACGAGCATGTCATCAGCCCAAAGGAGTTCGTCCACCTGGCTGGCAAATCCACCCTGAAGGATTGGAAGCGGGCCATCCGCATGAACGGCATCATGCTCCGGTGGGTCTGCAAGGCGGCCTGGGCTCAGCCTCTGCCCCCTCCCCCCCCATCCCACTCCCACCCCGAGTTTCCCAGCTGTCAGTCAGTCTTTAACATCCACGTCTTACCTGGTCGTGCTTACGGTGCTTTTCAGAGTGAGCTGCCCCACAGGCCGCACCTGGTTGTGCAGTGGACTATGCCCCCTGTGAACCCCACGGGCTACACTGTATCGTGTGCGTACAGAGCCCACATGAGCACCTCAGTGGATTTCCCCAAAGTGAACCAGACTGAGAAGGGACTGCCGCCCCAGACTCCACATGCTTGACAGCCCTGCCCCGCCCCATCCTGGGGGCCAGTGCAGACCGGGCAGAGAGGGACCTAGAGGCACGTTTCTGTGGGGCCAAGGCCTGACCCCATGGCCTCTGAGAGGACCTTCTCTAGACCCCATCCCATCAGAGCCCCACCCCACTGCCACCTGGCTGGGGGAGAACCCTGAGGAGGGGCTGGGTTCAGACTGAGGATGCTAGTGACAGTCCCCACCCTGCAGGAAGATCATGGACTCTGGGGAGCTGGACTTCTACCAGCATGACAAGGTCTGCTCCAACACCTGCCGCAGCACCAAGATCGACCTGTCGGGTGCCCGAGTGTCCCTGAGCAGCCCCACGGCAGCCGAGTACCTCCCCCTCACGCCGGCCACAGCAGACGGTACCTCTGCTCCCTGTCCCCAGCCCCACGCCGCCCCCGCCCGTGCCCACTTGGGTGTGCTTCTGGGTGTGGCTGTCCCCGCCCATCTACAGGTGTGGGTTGGCATGCGCTGTGTGTGTGTGTGTGTGTGTG